TAAATCGGTTTTTAAGTAGGGTGATTACTTCTATTAGCTAGCTGTTGATCAGCATATACCTGGGTTGAAATCCTAGTTCGAACTCTTGATTCTGAGATGCTTGAGCAGGTAATCTCATCTCTCTAAAACTGTTCCACCATCTGAAGAGAGTGAAAAATGGCCCTTGAATTAATACCTCCATAGGTCACTGCAAAGAAAGTACTTTGAAAAACCTAAGCCACTAGATAAATGAGGATTATTAACATCTTTTCTTTTAAAAAATAATTTATTTTAGTTTTCAACATTAATTTCCACAAGATTTTGAGTTCCAAATTTTCTCCCCATATCACCCCACCCCTACCCCAAGACAGCGCACATTCTGAATATTCTTCCCCTGATCTGCCCTCTATCACCCGCCCCCTTCTCTTATCTCCCTCCCCTTCCATTTTCCTGTAGGTCAAGATAGATTTCCATACCCCATTCCCTGTATATCTTATTTCCTAGTTCCATGTAAAAACAACTTTTAACATTTGTTTTTAAAGCTTTGGGTTCCAAATTCTCTCCCTTCCTCCCTCCACACGCACCCTCATTGTAACAGCAAGCAACTCAATATAGTTACACATGTGTAGTCATGCAAAACACTTCCATAGTAGTCATGTTGTGAAAAACTAACTATATTTACCTTCATCCTATCCTGCCCTCCATTTATTCTATTCTCTCTTTTGACCCTGTCCTTCCTCAGAAGTGTTTTCTTCTGATTACCCCCTCCTCACATCTACCCTCCCTTCTATCATTCCCCCCATCTCTTATCCCTTTCCTCTCTGTTTTCCTGTAGGGTTAGATAGATTTCCATACTCAATTGAGTGTGCATGTTATTCCCTCCTTAAGCCAAATCCGATGAGAATAAGATTCATTCATTCCCTCTCACCTTCTCCCACTTACCCTCCACTGTAAAAGTTTTTTCTTATCTGTTTTTTGTGAGATAGTTTACCTCATTCTACCTCTCCATTTCTCTTTCTCTCAGTATAATCCTTTCTCACTCCTCAGTTTTATTTTTAGATATCACCCCTTCATCTTCAACTCACCCTGTGCCACCTATCTATCTATCTATCTATCTATCTATCTATCTATCTATCTATCATCTATCTATGTATCTATCTATTTATCTATCTCTATATCCATCTATATCTATCTGTAGCTACATCTACCTATATCTATATCTATCTACCTATCTATCTATCTATCTGTCTGGCTGGCTGGCTGGCTGGCTACCTATACATATATTTTTTCCTCCAACTACCTTAATACTGACAAAGGTCTCATGAGTTACAAATATCATCTTTCCATGTAGGAATGTAAACAGTGAAACTTTAATGAGTCCCTTATGATTTCTCTTTCCTGTTTACCTCTTCATGTTCCACTTGAGTCTTGTATTTGAAAGTCAAATTTTCTATTCAGCTCTGGTCTTTTCATCAAGGATACTTGAAAGCCCTCTTCTTCACTGAATATCCATTTCCCCTCTGATGGATTACACTCAGTTTTGCTTGGTAGGTGATTCTTCGTTGTAATCCTATATACTTTGACTTCTGGAATATTATATTCCAAGCCCTCTAGTCCCTTAAATCTCATGTTTTCCTGATTGTGTTTCCACAATATCTAAATTGTTTCTTTCTGGCTGCATACAATATTTTCTCCTTGAGCTGGGGATTCTGCAATTTCGCTATAATATTCCTAGGAGTTTTCCTTTGGGGATCTCTTTCAGGAGGAGGTCGGTGGATTCTTTCAATTTCTATTTTGCCCTCTGTTTCTACTATATCAGGATAGTTTTCCTTGATAATTTCTTGAAAGATGATGTCAAGGCTCTTATTTTGATTATGGCTTTCAGATAGTGCAATAATTTTTAAATTCTCTCTCCTGGATCTATTTTCCAGGTCAGTTGTTTTTCCAATGAGATATTTCACAGTATTTTTTATTTTTTTAATTCTTTTAGTTTTGTTTTACAATGTCTTGATTTCTCATAAAATCATTAGCCTCCATTTGCTCCATTCTAAATTTTGAGGAAGTATTTCTTCAGGGAGCTTTTGGACTTCTTTTTCCATGTGACCAATTCTGCTTTTGAAGGTATTGTTTTCCTCATTGGCTTTGCAGACCTTTTTTGGCATTTGGGTTAGGCTATTTTTTTAAGGTGTTATTTTCTTCAGTATTTTTTTGTGTCTTCTTTACCAAGTGGTTGACTTATTTTTCATGATTTTCTTGCATCACTCTCATTTCTCTTCCTAGTTTTTCCTCTACTTCTCTTACTTGCTTCTCAAAATCCTTTGTGAGCTCTTCCATGGCCTGGGACTGATTCATATTTTTCTTGGAGGCTTTGGATGTAGGAGCTTTGACTTTGTGGTCTTCTTCTTGTTGTATGTTTTTATCTTCTTTATCCCCAAAGAACAATTCTATGGTCTGACCTTTTTGCTCATACTCCCTGCCAATTACTTGAGTATTAAACTCTTTTTTAAGGTCGGGGTCTGCTTCCAGTGTGGAGAAAGTACTATCCCAAGCTTTGGGGGTTTTGTGCAGCTGTTTTCAGTGATACTTCTAAAAACTTGTAAATTTTCAGTTCTTCCAAGGTGGTATGATCAAAACCAAGGTGTTTGCTCCTTTCCTGGCAGGGGCTGTGGTCTATGAGTGACTACAAGCATTCTTTTCTGCCTTGTAACTGTGAGGATGATTCCCTCTTCACTGCCATCACAAGCTCCACCAGGTTAGTGCTCCTCCTTGCCCCAGGATCACCACCCACAACTGTGACCCAGATCCAAGCATGAGCAAAGCAAGAGAACCCTGCCTCAGCACCAGCAAAGAGATGCCTGCACTTCCCCTCTGATTCAGCTGCTTGATCCCCACTCCATCTGTGGGCTGAGAGCTCCATAAACAACAGTAGCCCAGAGCTGCACCAGTACTGGGGCCAGACCAAGCTCCTCTCTCACCATAGTCCAACAGACCTTTCTTACTGACCTTGTAAGTTGTCTTTGGTGTTTATGGGACTTAGCCTGTAAACAGCCACAGTTTCCCATGATTTAGTGCCCTGAGGCCTGCTCCAGGTTTGCTGAGGCCTGGTCTTTGCCTTCAGGGCCTATGCTGAACTGTCCTCCTCCCCCAGCCTGGCATAACTGACCTTTCTCTTCTTTTTTTAGCCATGTTTTTTATTAATTTATTTTGATTTATCAACAGTCACTTCCATAAGCATTTGAGTTTTAAATTTTTCTTTCCTTCTCTAATTATTTCCCTCCTCAAGATTGCATGCAATCTGATATAGGCTATACATATACGTTCCTGTTAAACATATTTTCACATTAGTAATGTTGTAAATAAGAATTAGAACTAATAGGAGAAACCACCAGAAAGAGGAAACAAAACATAACAGAAGAAAAAAAAATAGCAAATAGTATACTTTGATCTGCATTCAAACTCCATAGTCCTTTCTTTGAATGTGGATAGCATTTTCCATCATGAGGCTATTGGAGATGTCTTAGATCCTTGTACTGCTGATAAGGGTCAAGTCTATCAATATTAGTCATCGAAGAACGTGGCTGTTACTCTATACAATGTTCTCCTGGCTCTGCTCACTTCACTCAGCACCACACTATACAAGTCTTTCCAGGTTTTTTTGAAGTCTGCCTGTACATCATTTCTTATCATGTAATAGTATTCCATTACTTTTATATATCACATTCACAGTTATGATTGCTATCTGTGTTTTTCTCTCCATTCTTTCCCCTCCCCCATTTATGCTTTTCTTTCTCCTTTCTCCTTTTCCCCCTCACTAATATTTTGCTTTTGACCACTGCCTCCCTCAGTTGCACCTCCCTTCTATTATCCCTCTCCCTTTTCTTTTCCTTTACCCTTACTACTTCTTCCCTCCCTTCTATCCCCCCTCCCTTTTCTTTCCCCTTTTCTCTCCTACTGCCTATAGGGCATGTTAGATTTCTATACCTATCTGATTATGTTACTCCCTTCTTGAGACAAATCTGATGACAGCAAGGGTCAAAACAACAGACCTTTCTAATGAACCATTCAGGTTGTCTTGAGATGAAAATTTCTTTCACTTTTTTTCATGGGTTCTGCTGCTCTAGAATTTGTTTAGAGACATATTTTACAGGGATTTTGAAGGGTTTGGTGGAGAGCTCAAGCAAGTCACTGCTTTTACTCTGCCATCTTGGCTCCACCTCTATCATCTTTTCTCTGTAAGCTTAGTGTACAGAGATTTCAACAAAAAGATGATAGTTGACAAATAGTTCTTTCTTTCCTGCCTGGTGCTAAGGTTATGTTGTGATAATAGAATTGGTATACTGTTTTGTCTGAGTTACCATGGGAACTGAAATAAAGACATTTCTTTTGAGTGTGAACTAATCAGATTAGTGGCCCATTATATAGCAATTAATTTAAAATTTTTAAACTTCAAAGTGACTTAACAGAAATATCCGGTGTGAGCTTGATTTTATAAACAATCAGTGATAACACCAATATTTAGTATAGTGAGAAATGATGGAGGTGCAGCATAATCTCTTCATTGAGGGCTTTGTTACATTCCCCTTGTTATACATCATTGGATAAAGGTCATCATACACAGCTCTTGTATTTGATTACAAAATAGGCTGAGGCACAAAGAGGAAAATATTGAAAGATGACCTTTCTCTATTTGCATCTTCACATAAGATTCTAATCCTTTCTGTAATCACCTCTGAAGAGGAAACAGAAATGCAACAGAGAGAGAGTGTCTTGGCTGGGCAGATTGAAGTGAGCTGTTGGGAAGGCATAGAGGATATTTTAATGAAGTTATTCTTACAGAGAACTAGACATTTCCTTGCCTAAGAAATAAAGTTTATTAAAGACAGGGGAAAATTGCCTCATCAACACATGTCAGAAGGATGTATCATTCCATACTCATTTTTCCTGGAAATTAATCCAATTGCAGTAGCATCAAAAATAGCACAAATATTGCTAACTTCTTAAGTGATCTCATTTCTGCTGCCATGCTAAGTAGTTGGGAGAAAATCTTAATGACTTTGGCAACTGGTGAATTTCTATTGGGCATTCTGGTGAATGGATTCATAGCTTTGGTGAATGGCATTGACTGGGTCAAGAGGAAGAAACTTCCACCAAGTGATCTCATCCTGTTCATCTTAGCCATTACCAGAATTGGACTGTCATGTGGATTAATGTGGAATATCTATTTAACTTTAATCTGCTTCAATATACCCACCCATGTAAGAATAATTGATGTCTTCTTGGTACTGACTCACAATTCAAATATATGGTTTACCACCATCCTCAGCGTCTTCTATTTCCTGAAGATCACCAATTTCTCTAATCCCCTTTTCCTCTGGATGAAATGGAGAATTGACAGGATAATCTTCATGCTTCTTGTGGGGCCCTTGATTGTCTATTTTTCCATTATCTTTCCAATGATGCAGATAGTGCATTATTATTATGGTAGCCTCTTTAGTAGAGGAAAAGAGAGAAATGTGTCACAGGAAGTCCAAGTGAGTAAAAGTAAGCTCATCATGCTCCAGGTTCCCTTGGGTCTTCTGAGTCTTATTCCTTTTATTCTGTCTACAATCACCTTCTCTCTGATCATTGTCTTCTTGTGGAAGCATACCCAACAGATGCAACTTAATTCCACAGGTTCCAGAGACCCTAGCACAGAAGCACATGTTCGGGCCATGAAAGCTATGTCTTCCTTCCTCATCCTCTTTTTATTTTATTATATGGGTTTCTTTCTCAACTACTGGAGCCACTCAGAGACAAAGAGTAAGTTGGCCTCCTTGTTGGGTATGTCAATCATGTTGTTCTATCCCTTTGGCCACTCATTGATCCTAATTCTGTGGATTAGCAAGCTGAGGCAAGCATTATTCTGAGTCCGGCATAAACCTTGTTCTGCCTCAGAAGAAAACCTTAGCTTGAACAACTTAGGAAACTTGGTACCTTCTACAGACAACAAATCGACAGGGAAGGTTTTCCTCACTTCTCTGCTTCTCCATTCAATGGAACATCACTCATTGCAGGAACTCTCTAATGTAGACTTTATTCTGGGCACATTAAGAAGCCCTGTGACTCTTTGGACAAAGTTTAAAATGCTTGTTGTTGTATGATCCCACTGGGGGATAAAGCATCATAAGAACAGTTAGAAGGGATAACAGATCATTAACCCAAAGCCCTCATTTTACAGAAGAAGACACCAAGGCCCAGAGAAGGCTCAGTATCATAGAAGTAAAGCTGGAAGGGACCTCAATGTGTCATAGGATCATAGGACTAGAGACATTGGGAACCTCAGACGCTATCTAGTACAATTTGCTCACATTACAGATGAAGAAATTGAGGACCCAGAGAGGTCACAAGGTCAGAGATATGGAAGTGGAATGGCTATCTAATCTGTAACTCTCATATTACAAAAAAGAAACTGGAGGAGCAGAAAGATTGGGTGATTTGTCCAGAGTCATATATGTACTTAGTAGTGAGGATTAGATTTAAACCCAGGCCCTATGAGTCCAAATCCAGTGCACTTTATATTGCACCACACAGCCCACGTTTCTCAGTAATCTCTCTTGCCACTTCTCTTCTTATACCTCAGATCGATCCTCTGTTCCCAGACGCTTGGTGTCAGACATCGTTAGTAGCCCATCTGACTCTGTCCCTTTGGTCCATAAGCAAACCATTCCAACCTACTGTTAGCTTTGGACAAGTTATTTTGCTAAAGAGAGCCTTAAATGCTGTCTAGTTAAATCTGTTCATTTTACAGACAAAAAAACTGAGGATCCAGATATGTTACAGGATCAGAAATATGGAAGTGGACTGGATATCTACTCCCTATCGCTCATATTACAGAAAAGAAATTGGAGGACCCGAAAGGTTTGGTGACTTGTCCAGACTCACACACATAGTTAGATATGACTACGGCCTATGAGTCCAATTCTAGTGCACTTCGTATTGCACCACAGTGTCCACCCATCTTGGTGCTCTCTCTTGTCACTTCCATATTATTCCTCAGATCAATCCTCTGTTCCCAGACCCTTGGTGTCAGATATCTTTAGTAGCCCACTTGACTCTGGTCCTCTGGTTCAAAACCAAGCTTTTCCAACCTAGTGTTTTTGGAGCTAGCTGAGGGATTTGGAAAAGTTATTTTACCAAAGAGAAAGCTTATGTCAATGCTGAGTGTCAACCCAAACAACCTTGTTCCTCAGCTGACACTTTTAGTCTGATTTGGGGAAGAGCAAACAAAAATCAGTGTCCCTGAGTGGGTGGTGGCAGACAAAACTGCAAAATGGAAAGTTTTGGCTCTCAGGAAACTTACAATGTAGTAGGAAGAAGGCACACGTGGCAGTAATTATCACCTAAATCAGAATTAATCTTATATTCCTATTGCAAAGATGAGAACTCATCAGATGTAAAGGCTCGACAAAAGAATCTACAAGCATGATGTGGATGCCACAGGAGGTACAAGGTTATCACTGGAAAAGCATGTTCTCTGATTCCAAATTTCCAGGAGAGTAAGACAAACTATGTTCTTTCATACAAGAAACGTCTATGCATAGTCCCAAATGGAGCTTGAATCCTCCCAAGTGCTCCATTCATGTGCCATCATCCCATCATGCCAAGATGCCATCTTTCCAACTATAATTACCTTTTAAATAAGCAATTCTTCTTCATCCAGATTGTTAAAAAAGGATTTTAGGCTGATGGAACATCTCAACAAGAATAGGGAAATGTTAGCCCCAGTGTGCCTGACTTTGATGAGGTGACATTTGGAAAAGAATGCTCATATCTAGGCAGTACTTCTTGAGAAGAATATTGATAAGGCAGAGGTTGGCCAAGATGATGAAGGGACTCAAGATCATGTCCTCTGATGACTGCTTAAATGAAATGGTATAGAATTGTAGACATTTGGTCTGGAGAGGCAAAGACTGAGGATGGCACATAATTATCTTCCTCAAAATATTCAAGGATTTTCGAATGGAAGAGAAATTGGACTTGTTTAGATTTTCTGTAGAAGATAAAATCAGGAGCAATAGATAGAATCAGCAAAGAGACAAATTTAGTCTTAAAGTACCTAATTTTTCTTGTTTGGTATATCATCTACATCTCCTAAAATATCACTCTCTACTCTCTTCTCTCAGAGAACAATGTCTTCTAATAAAAGCATAAAAATAAGAGAGATTTTCATAAAAGCTAACATATAAAAAGAATCTGATATTACATGCTGTGTTTCTGACCCATAGTTCCCCCATCTTCAAAGTGAAAGGGAACTGTCTTCTCTTTTTTGGATCCAAGTTTGGTCATTATAGCTTTGTGCTGCTCAATTTTAGTAATTTCCTCCTATATTTACTCTTGCAGATATTATGTATATTGTTTGCTTTATTCCATTTCAATTTGTATTGATTCATATTAATCTCTGCATGCTCCTCTGTATTCATTATATTCATCATTTTCTTATAGCAAATAAAATTTCACTGTATTTAGTTGCCACAATTTCATTGGCCCCTTCCCAGTTGATGGACACCTACTTGGTTTCCATTTCTTTGCTAATATAAACATTGCTGCTATAAATGTTTCAATCTACGGGACCTCTATTTTTTTCATTGGCTTCTTTGGAATATTTGCCTAAAAGAAGAAAAATGGATCAAAGAGTATGTACAGTTAATCACTTTATACAATTCCAAACTGTTTTACAGAATTGTTAGACTAATTTTCTAGTAACTCCACCAACAATGCATATGCATGCCAGTCTTCCACAACTCTGATATCATGGACTATCAGTACCTATTGTCATCTTTACAGATTTTCCAGTCTGAAAGAAATCTCAGAGGTATTTTGATTTGACTTTAATATATTGTTAATGTTTTAGGGCATTCTTACACATAATTTTCAATAAGGTAAAATTCTTTTGAGACATCTTTGCACATCTCTTCTGATTACTTATCTATTGGGAAATAAATTTGAATTTTAGTAACATAATTTAGTTAGTTGCTATATTATTTTGGGTATCAATCATTGATCTGAGATATTTGTTACAAAGATTTTTTTCTCATCATTCTGTAATAGATAAGTAGTCAAGGCATTAGAACAAACAACTCTCAAAAATTGCAAACTACTAATAACTATAAGAAAGAATGTTCCAAATCATTTATAATAAGCTGAATATAAATGAGAACCAATCTGAAGTTTCACCTTACACCTAGCACACTAGCAAAAATGACAAAAAAAAAAAAGAAAAGAATGGTCAATATTGGAGGGCTTGTGAAAAGGTAGGCACACTGGTGCATTGTTGGTGGAGTTGTGAATAAGTATAAGCCTTTTAGAAAGCAATTTCGAATTTTGCAAATACAGTGATTAAAATGTCCATAACCTTGACCTAAAGATTCCATTGCTTGGCTTATTCTGTCCTAGGAAGTCATTAACAAGAAAAGAGTCCCACATACACCAAAACACTTATAGCAGCACCTTTTGTGGTAGCAAAGAATTGGAGACAAAGTAGATTCCTATTAATTAGGGAATGGCTAAAACATATTGTGGTACATGAACAAAACTGAAAATCACTGTGCTATAAGAAGTAATTAATACAATGCATACAGAGAAACAGGGAAAGACTTTAGTGATCTGATAAAAGTGAAATAAGCAGAGCCAAGCAAGCAATCTACCCCATGACTTTGTTGTTGTTCAGTTGTGCCCGAGTCTTTGTGGCACCATGGATTTCTCGGTGGTGTTTTTTGGTAAAAATACTGCAGTAGTTTGCCCTTTCCTTGTCCAACGTATCCCTATTTTATAGATGAGGAACTGAGGCAAATAGCACTTAAGTGGATTGTCCAGGGTCACATAGCTAGTAAGTTTCTGAGTCTAGATTTGAACTCAGATCTTCCTGACTTCAGGTCTGGTGCTCTATTCACTGTATCACCCAGTTGCCCCAAACCATAACTACAACAATGTGAATGGAAAAAAAACCACAAAATAATCAAAAGTGAATGTTGCAAAATTATAAAGAATAAGAATGGTGAAAGGAGAAGACATCTCAACCCAGTCCTTTGCATAGGTGGAAAGTCCATGTGTGTGGCATATTGCCAATAATTTCAAACTTTTTTGGTGTATTTTATTGAGTTTCCTGATTTTCCCTTTTTCCACTTTTTTTTCTTTAAAGTCATTCTTTGTAATTTGAGATTGCTCTCTAGGAGGGGTGAGGAGATGGATACTTAAGGAAATTCTTGTCATTAAAAAAGATAATGAAACTTCAAAACTCAAAGGACAATAGATTTAGTTTAAAAATTGAGAGAAGGAAAGAAACAGAGAAGGTAAAAAGAAGGAAGAAAGGAAAAAGCAAGTAAGGAAATGAATGAAAGAAGAAAAAAGGAAAAAAGAATGAAGTGAGACAAGGAAGGAAGGAAGGAAGGAAGAGAGCATGGGTGCAAAGGTGGGAGGAAAAGAAGGAAGGAAGAAGGGGAGTCAGGGAGGGAGGGAGGGAAAAAGAAAGGAAGGAAAGTAAGAAAAAAGGAAGAATAGAAAGAAAGAAGAGGAGAGAGAGAGAGAGAGAGAGAGAGAGAGAGAGAGAGAGAGAGGAGAGAGAGAGAGAGAGAGAGAGAGAGAGAGAGAGAGAGAGAGAGAGAGAGAGAGTCATCCAGTAATTTAAAAGGGACACAAAGAAATTTAAATTTCATCACAACTTCAAGGATCAGGAGAAGCAGAGGTGGAAGAACTTGATTGAAAGACCAAAACCTAAACTCCCTGATACATCTATAAGTGAATCAATATCTTTTGTGGAATGGAGTTGCAGAGTGGGATGTAGCATACCTGGGGAGAGGGGTAGTGGCATGCAGAGTAGAATGGGTAATGTATCCCAACTAAATTCCTGTGGGAATAGATAAAGGATACT